TTCCTATTGAAATCCAATTGAAGTATCAATTGGGATGTAGAGATGTAAATATTCACTGAAAATCAAATTGGTTTTCTTATCATGTGAATCGATGTGACAATGGTACATTAATCAAGCTTTCTAATATAATGTCTGTACGGTAGTTATATTTTTTTTGTTAGGAATAAATCCGATGTGAAGCATACAGTAATAGTATACATGGATACATTGGAAAAGTAACTTAAACCCAAATCAATATTCAATTTTAAGAATTACATCCCAAATAGAGAACATATGCACAAAGATACATCCATCTTATACAGAGTGTCAGTCAACGTGTGATGTCAACAACAAAAATGTCATTACCGGCCCAAAAACTCACACAATAAATAGTTTCATTGCCTTTTCCGTTTTTTGGGGAAGCCTGACCAAAGGCTTTTCTGTTCCATCTCTGCTGCCCAGATGTCACACTTTACTTTTGTGGTCAGAGTAACCAAAGCATCCCAAGTCCACACTTCCTGTCATGACCAAATAAGGGCAGAGGCCGATGAGAACAACACTGTCTTCTAGTTCAGCTATAAACCACAAAACCCTTATGTAAACATATTTTCTTATACCAACCTTTCGGGGGAAGAATTGTAGTTTTTAGCTCTTTCTCGGAACTGTGTGTCATGGAGGAACAAAACTTTCTGTGTGATGGTTACATGTTTCTCCCTGTGACTGGGTGGGTTTCCTCCAAGTGCTCCTGTTTACTACCAACACTCAAACCTGCTCTATGGTACAGCACATTTACAACAATACCAGCTGTCCAGTGGTTCACAGGCACAAAAGATAAAAACAAATTAAAGAATAAGAAAAAATACATAACAATACATAACAATACATGTAAAAAGTAAAAACAAAAGGAATGATGGATTAAATACAGAAGAAAAATTATCCTGGGACAATATTCCAAATTATCTGAATATTCTCGTATGGAGGAGATGAGGTCTGTTGGAGATAATATGCTAAAAAGAGCAAAAAATTGACAAATTGATTTTCCAGAATATATTTTGAACATATGTTTTACTTTTTTACCACTTAGATTTCCGTTCCTGCAGAGATGGGGTCCAGAACAAATAGACTGAAATTAGATTGTGCCAGAATCCCAGTGAACCTGAAGCAGCACACTTCAGGGACCGTCCTGACAGTTAGAAATATGAGGTTCTGTGAAGATGTTGTGGGATCTGTTTTTAACACGTTCACAAATCTGAGCTCAAATTAGGCAACAACATCCAACAAACACAAAGCCTCAAGTGTCACTCTATGTTTTACCAGATGTGGAAAATTGATAACCTGCCAGCATCATTCATTTTTGTTTTTTTATGTATATTTTATTAAATTCATCGTTTAGCCTGGTCTTACCACACCATCTTTCTAATTTCATTTCGTACTAAGGTCTGGATTTGCTCAATTTTGCTGGTGGGAGGGGATATCTTTTTTCGCAGATTGAAACTCTTGGCTCTAAGGTTGCCGCGATGTATGTAATGCACCCGAGTGAGTCTCTAGCATTTAGCATTTAGCCTAGCCATCCATCGGAGCCCGTGGGGAATCGAACCACAACATCTTCGAAAGCATTGAAACTTGCTAAACATTCCTCTTGCTCCTGCTTGAATTCAGCGGCGTAGGGTAGTGCTTTACTTGCTTTCGCCGCCATTGCCAAACTACAACCAAGTAATTTAACGCAAACTCTCATGAGTTCTCTCTGATTGGTTGGAGGGGAAACAAGGTAAATGCAGCCACTGGGAGCAGACCAAGCCCCGGCGATCCAAGATGGCGTCGTATTCAAATGAATGGTTTATGTTCAGTCATATCACTCGCTATATTTGGGCATCGTTTGGTCCTCCCGGTTCTGCGCAGTGGTTGATCTCCCATGATGCGTTGCGCCAAATACGCGTGTGTGGCTCTCATGTATGTACACAGAAGGGCTCGGCCGCGCTCTGACCAATCAGAACTGCTCATCAGAGCGGAGCTAGAGCGGGATTTAGAGCAAGAGCCAGGTGAGCAGAGTTTGTGGCACTAAAGTGTGGATTTAAAGAAAACAGAAGGATTTAAGAAAAAAAGTTCAGGATGACAAGGGACACCAAAATCTCCACAAAATCCGACCTTTATGAAAGCTTTAGGTTCTCTGTCAGCTGAGGTCGAGCTGTTTTAGTTTACATTGAGTTCTATTGGGAAAATGTCTAGGTAGCCCTCGTAAATTTAGTCGGGTTTAGTCTGCAGTACCGCGAGAATCCCCTGAGCACATGGGTTCTTCAGCTCCAAGCTAGTAATACCCTATCCAGTTATTATAATAGATCCATGGAGCAGACCCAGACGTATGCAGGGAAATTATATTTGACCAGAGTTTTACGGATGGCCAGGCTACAATTTACAACAAGTTACATGTACAGTATTTCCTTCGCTCCTTCGCTCCTGCGCAGGTGAACTCTGCGGAGTGATGGAGCGCGTCTTCAACCTAAGCCTCAGGCTGAGGTCGGTACCACAGCTCTGGAAGACGTCCTGTGTGGTACCAGTGCCCATGAAACCACGGGCCAAAGACCTCAGCGACTTCAGGCCAGTGGCTCTAACATCCCACTCCGCTCCACTCTGAGCCCAGCGATGGATCCGCTGCAGTTTGCCTACCGGCAGAGCCACTCCTAAAGACCTTCTATGACTCTGTGGTGGCATCAGCCATCTTGTACGGTGTGGTCTGCTGGAACAGCAGCATCACAGAGACGGACAGGAAGAAGTTGGACAAGGTCATCAGGAAGTCCAGCTCAGTCCTGGGCTGTTCCCTGGACACAGTGCAGCAGGTGGGGGACAGGGGGGTCCTGGCCAATCTAACATCTATGCTGGACCATGACTGTCACCCCCTGCAGGACACTCTCTCTGCTCTGGAGAGCAGCTTCAGTGACAGACTAATTCACCCTCAATGTGTGAAGGAGAGGTTCCCAGGTCTTTCCTTCCTGCTGCTGTCAGACTGTACAACAAACAATGAGGACTAATGAACACTGCCAACTTGATTCCACGTGTCATTCTCGCATCGTTGCAATATCCTTACCTTATATCAGAATGTGCAATGTACAGATGTAAACATACTGCTGCTAATGTACAGATGTAAACATACTGCTGCTAATGTACAGTTGTAAACATACTGCTGCTAATGTACAGATGTAAACATACTGCTGCTAATGTACAGATGTAAACATACTGCTGCTAATGTATAGTTGTAAACATGCTGCTGCTAATGTACAGATGTAAACATACTGCTGCTAATGTACAGATGTAAACATACTGCTGCTAATGTACAGATGTAAACATACTGCTGCTAATGTACAGATGCTAACATATAACTACACTTTACTTGCACTAGAATACACAGTAATTTATACTTGCCTCTTATTTTGTCAAATGTTAAATTTTTACATCTAATATATTTTCAAGATAGATTTCATACTCATTATTGATGCTAGAGTTAGATTGTTTTTATTTTAATTAGAATAGCTATTGTTCACTTAACGTGTGCCGTGTGCTCCTCTTTCTTACTGTTCTATACCCTGTGATGCAACACCAACATTTCCCCACTGTGGGACAAATAAAGGATCTCTTAATCTTAATCTTAATTTATATCATCAATATCTAATTTCAAAAAGATGAAGTATGTGTAAATACTAACATGAAATACTTGAGTGATAACAGTACATCAAATTCTTTTATGAAGCCAGATCCTTTCAATCTTGGATCTCACTTGTTCTTGAGTTTTTCTTTGTCAAGCCGCTGGTCTCTTGGTGCAGTTTCAGCAGTGGGAACATTCTTTATTTTGAAAGTAAATGTTTTATCTTTTGTATTGTACTCAATGTGGTATAGAGATCATGTTTACATTTTGCCTGATGCAATTCCAGGAGGCCTTCAACAAATACAAGCCTTTGAGTTCAAACAGACATATAATATGACATATAAACCCGTGAAATTTTAAAAAAACGTTCTCAAAATAACCGCAAAGGTTAAAAGTCTGGTCCGAAGTGGCACAGTGGGAAAATTCATTACATTTCATCAACTGTTCACAACCTGACCTGAACACATGTTTTACTTTCTTTTTCTATCTGATGTTTGAAGACTCAGACATTTCCTGAGGCAAAGGCATCATGTTTATTCTGGCAGCACAAGCCAACAATTGTGAATGAATGTACAGCGCAGGGATTTTAGTGGGTGACACCATCAATGATAAAAAAAAAAAATTAAAATAAACTGTTTTGACATCATGTGATTTTTACATTTTGGTGACGATGACACCACCAAACAAATGTAAGTGTCATCTCTCTTCTTTTTGGTTTAAAGTCTTTACAGCTTACAGCTTACAGCTTTTTCAATTTTCTGTCTGAAAAAAGATGTGTGTGTGAAAACTAGTGATAAAAGCAATTATTCTTAAGAGCGAGGAAGTATTAGATTGTGTTATATATTTAAGTGCTTATGTTTTAGAAGTTATGTACCCCAACTTTAAAGTAATATACACTGTTTCTAAACCCACCCTTCATGTATACTCATTTCAAATATCATCAAAATGTGGCATTGTTTGCAAAGAAATGCAGATTGAGTGACTTCCTGGTTGGTGTGGGTGCTCCCCAGTCTTCCCCCGCCTCCTGCTCCCTCTCTCTTCTCTTTATTCTCTCCATGTGTCACATACAACTCAATAGAGCAGCTCTCCTCTCTCCTCTCACACTCACACACACGGGCTCCGGCTGGAACTCTGCCCAGGCACCTCTCTGGATACAAGCCCCAAACCAGGCTTTGATTCTGGGCTTGCACCTGTGTGGTTTTTGCCCTTTATTTGGACGTGAACTCTCTGGGGCCTTTATGGGACTCATAATATGGACAAACTCAGATGTTTAGGATAGTGCTACTGTATTTGGACTTGGCCTTGCTTCAATTCCCCCAAGGTTTGGAGAGATTGTACATCAAGGAGTGAGAGGATTTGGAGGATTTTACACCTGGAGCTCAGAATGGACCTCACTCACTTTTGGATACTGGGGACTATGCTCGTGCTGACTCACCAACATCAAGGTACATATCAGTACATTATTATTATTCAGTGTCTGTATCCTTAAAATAGAAGCAAAACAAAATAATAGGAAAAACGTCTATTATAAAGAGACAGTTCTCTCTGGGGTGTTCTTTTCAACTTTTCCTAATACAATTATGAAAAAATGAAAAATCCACACACATCCATCCATACATACATACACATACGTACACATGCACACATACATACATACACATATACAATCATTACATAGATACATCTTGTACATACCTTATGTTCTGTGAATGCTCAGGATTGTTAATATGGTGCTGATGAGTCTATACATAGATAAGATAAGATAAGATAAACTTTATGGATCTCACAATGGAGAAATATCACATTTGCATTTATAGAATCACTCAGGTTGTGCAAAAAGACAAAAAGTGTACAAACAAGATATATTATGTGCAATAAAAAATTACAAGTGGCTATAGCAATGAGTTAGTGAGTTTTTCCTTGCCGATGCAGGAGGGTCTGTTTGGCAGTGTCTAACAAAAAGGACTGTGGTGATGATCCAGGACACTATAACATTCTACAACATGTATGAACATGTTCTATATTCTTTTTTGTGTCTTAACTGTTTGATTCTCTGATCTGTGATGGTGATTTCAATGGTTTTGTTAAGTCCTCTTAGATAACTACTGTTGTGATTTAGGGATATACAAGAATAAATTGTATTGTATTGTATATCAGTGCGACATTTTTTAGTCCTAGTGCAGGTCATTAAAGTGACTTATCGTACAGTCTGACAGTGGTGGGGATGAAGGCCCTGCGGTAGCGCTCCCTCTTGCACTGAGGGTGCCTCAGTCTTCCACTGAAGGAGCTCCTCTACAGTCTTGTGCAGTGGGAGGGAGGTGTTGTCCATGATGGAGGTGACTTTGACTAGCACCCTCCTGTCCCTCACCTCCTCCACAGAGACCAGGGGGCAGCCCAGAGTGGAGCTGGCCCTCCTGACCATCTTGTTCAGTCTTCTCCTGTCCCGCTCTTGGGTGTTGGTGTTCAGCGGCATGTGAGATAGTGGTTTTCTCCTGAGGTCGATTACCCTCTCCTTGGTCTTACTGGTGTTCAAGCACAACGGTGAGAGGACAGTGCCCTGAGGGGCCCCAGTACTGCAGACTATCACCTCTGACTAACAGCTGCGCAGCCGCACGTACTGTGGTCGGTCCGAGAGGTAGACGATGGTCCATGCAGTGAGGTGACTGTCCACTCTCATGTCCACAACAGCAGCCCTTCTTTGACAGCCTTTTAATTTTATGGCCAACAGAGAAAGTTTGAGTGAACACTTGTGTTGTAACATAAACATTAAATAGTTGGAGTGTGCTGTGGTTGGTTCACCGGTACAAATGTGAGTTGTGTTATGGGCAGCTAACTTCATGACAGTGTATGGAGTGACTGAATAATAATCATGCATTTGTTATAAACACAAAATCAGGAAAAACAATATTGTCCAATAGTCAGTACTCAAAGCTCAGGACCAGGTGAGGGTAGAGACATGGTGAGATATACCACTGCAGACACCATCAATCTCCAGTTCCTAAATTAGGATCGTTTTGTGTCCTTGTCCCCTCTACTGGAGAATAGTTATTTGGAATAATATCACGTGAGATACCAACACATTAGAATATGGCATTATTGTTGTGGATCAAAAATGTTCCAACGTGGAGCACAACTCAAACATAAATAGTTGAATTTCAAAATATGAAGTGTGCCAACGTGTGTTACTTCTGTTCTCAGGTTCTTCAGGCTGTATCGTGTTTTTATCTTTGCCTTCTGTGTTTGTTCTTCACTTTCCCACATATTTAGACAGTTGGAATAATACTAAAAAAGCCCAGACAGTCTAGTACAGTAGTCTTCAAAGCCGCTCCCCTGTAGCCGCTGGCCACTGGATCAACGACTCTGCTACCTGGCTAATGCGCTGGAATCTACCTCCTCCTGCTTACATGCTACAATCTGTAATAAATCCTCTTTTATTTGGATAGGAATTCTTTAACACTGATGGACATGATTGCGTAAGGATCAGGAGGTAATATTGCTGGCTGTTAACAAGGATACTGCACCCAAAAAGAGCCACACCCTGCACAGAAATCACTGTAAACAACCAGAGGATGTTGATGGAGTCGCCTCTCCACAGAGCTGGACTGTTGATCCACTGCACCTTTAATTTTGCATATTGTTGAATAACTTGATAAAGTAGGTTTATGTACATTTATTTGATGACAAGTATGGAACTTTGAAGGAGTGGCTAGAGCCTTTTGATTCCAATCATATTGGTACATATATAACACCATGTTGCCTTCAAACTGCCTCTCTTTGGACCAACAGATATAAATAGACTTTCAAACAAACACTCAAATGTAATAATACAATTTCAAGTGAGAGGAAACGAAATACTTTCAATAAGAGAATCCAGTGAATCAATCAATCAACTTTTATTTGTTGTGTGTCTTTCCTTCACAAGGCAACACAAAGCGCCTCACAACCCTTATCACATTCGGCATAAATCATAGGAGAAAAACTCAAAATAATGTACACAAGTGAAATATGGAATTAAAAAGGGATAGAGTAGCCCACTTTGTCACAACCATCTAATCTCTAATGAAAATGTAAGAGAATTACATGATTACATACAGTAAAATCTGAAAAGCACCCATCTACAGCTGAAATTCAAAGTTAAATCCGACAAACGTTCTCCTGTCAAATGGATCATTTTACTATTATATTTGTTCAATGCCACAATACAGTATTGGGGGAGGTCCTTTTTCAGAATTATTTATATTCTACAAAGTCAGATGTTTACATACATTTGGCTAGTATTTGGTAGAATTGTCTTTAAAACTGTGGGAAGTCTTTCACAAGCTTTTCACAATATTACTCCTGGAAGAACACTTTACTGTAAGTACTTTGGCCGTATGCTCGGGGTCATTGTCCATTTGAAATACCCACCTCCACCAACTTCATTGCTGCGGGATTGAGATTTAATTTGAGTATTGTTTTGTAGCTTATATCATGGGATGGATTGGCTCCGGTGGGGGCGGTTCCCTCCTCAAAAAGATCCGTGAGCATGTGCGCTCAGGTGGCTTACTCGGGTGGCGTACCCGTAAACAGATTTATCCAATGCATTCTTATGGCGCCTTTTTTTCTCTCAAAAAAGGCTTTACAGCCTGGTCCAAAAGTCTGCAAAGTCAACGCTGATTTCTAGATGCGTGTCAATATTGAGGGGAGTATTTTTATTGGGACCAGCTTAGTTTATCCGCTGTGGACTTTTGAATGAACACGTTTTTCGGCCATGTGTCGGGCTGCATCCAGCTAACGCATGCACAAATGATACAGCCTCCGCTCCCAACGCGACTCGCACCATCATACACATGCGCAAAAGCGTTTTTTCACTATTTTACTTCGGGAGGTTCTTCTCACGGTCATTTTCAAAAGGTACATGTTGATCAGACATACATTTCAACTAAGGAATTAGATGTCACTACATTCCGTAATCTTTACAGTCTACCGAGGCGTCTGCTCGGTAGACTGTTTTCTGTTTTGATGGCCGGACATCTACAGATGAAAGTAGCAGCATTTGGAAAATGTGCTAAAGAATGAACCAGACTGATTCACAATGCTCTTTCCAATTTGAAAAATCACCTCTTCTAATATATATATATATATATATATATATATATTGGGAGAGGTGAATACCAACGAATAGAGACAATGTTGGTAAAAAAAAAAACTGGCGTTAACTCTTTTCAGATCTGTATGTATTTCAGCACCGTATACATAAACTTCTTAATTGAACTCCTTTCTCTGGAGCCCTCTCTCATCGCGGCTCTGGATCCGTTAAAGACTGCTCTCTGGCCCTGACAAACTGATCCTCTTGTCTTTGTTTCTGACATCATCACTGTGGCCATCTTTTAACACCTGCAGAGTACTCCCTGTCAACACCACACATGAGCACTGTGGCAGAGTTTGTTACATCTGCTGACCAGGCAACCCTGAAACAAATCTGGGGATGTGTTTTTAAAACATTTAGTTTTTCTTTATTTGCAGATTTCTTTGTCTGTGGATTTCTCTCTCACATGTCCTGCAGTTTTGTTGATGTAATAGTACAGACTGATCTTTCAACAAATGGGGATCTTTCAAACAATAGTGACAATTACAATAATCACAATGTGTTATAATACATTTTGACAAGTCCAAAATTGTCTACATGTGTTTGTTTTTGGCCTATCGTTGCCAAGGCTCTTTCTAAACACGATCATACAACTATAGGAGGTTAGAATGACCAGACTTATGTTGTTAACAGTCCATGTTTTCTAAAAGGACAAGAAACATACAGACATATTTATTCCATGTACTTAACAAATGTAAACAAACATTAATTGAGAATAATGCGGCTGCACAAAAAGTTTTATCTAGACTTTGTGTTTAGAACTGTCAGTCTGCTTGTCAAAAACTCCATCCATCCACTTTCTTCCGCTTCATCCGTTGCCGGGTCGCGGGGGCAGCCGTCTAAGCAGAGACGCCCAGACTTCCCTATCCACACACACTTCCTCCAGCTCGTCCGGGGGGACCCCAAGGCATTCCCAGGCCAGCTGAGAGACATAGTCCCTCCAGCGTGTCCTGGGTCTTCCCCGGGGCACCTCCCCAGGGAGGCGTCCAGGAGGCATCCGGAACAGATACCTGAGCCACCTCAACTGGTTCCTCTCGACATGGAGAAGCAGCGGCTCTACTCCGAGCTCCTCCCTTGTGACCGAGCTCCTCACCCGATCTTTAAGGAAGCGCCCAGCCACTCTGCGGAGGAAGCTCATTTCGACCGCTTGTATCCGCGCTCTCGTTCTTTCGGTCATTACCCAAAGCTCATGACCATAGGTGAGGGAGGGAATAAAGACTGACCGGTAAATCGAGAGCTTTGCCTTTCGGCTCAGCTCCCTCTTTACCACAACGGTCCGATACAGCGACCGCATCAATGCGCACGCTGCACCGATCC